CCTTTGAGACCATCCCACTCTTAGGGTCAGTGGTTCAACGACGCAACATTACATTGTGACGTATCGCTATCTTTTCCTTTCATCACTGAGGCAATTGCCTCAAGGACTTTAGGATTGTATCTTGCTACATTTCATTTTTTGTTGTTAGTTAGGATGTGTAAAATAGACATTTGGTTTTCATTTGACATTATGTAGCTTAGGCTGCATCGCATGGACTCCGCTTGGAACTTGCTCCGCATCCCAGATTTATCAATTTTCCTTGTTGCAGAGTTCCGTTGCTTTTGTGGATAGCGTGTTTATGATTCTTGCAGTTTTCCTTTTGAGGATCGTGCAGCGGGCCTTTATTTACCTGGCCTACAACCAGGTCCTATCAGGCTATTTTGTCTGTTCGGTTTGTGGGACCACTGGCAGGTCGTGGCCTGACCCCACAACCCGTGTGCTTATTAAGTCTAGTCTAGTCCAGTCTAGTCAGTCCGCTGGGGGTATACCCCAACTGAAGTTTGTTTCAGCCTCATTCTTCATTTTGCACACTTTGGACTACGTGGGTGTTGAGTGCTGTGTCGTCCCTTCCAGCTCCATCTCCGCCTCCGTCATCCTGACCCCTTCGTCTTCATCCTAACGGACCGCCATCCCGGCGGGTTCCCCAAAGAGAGAGAGAGAGAAAAAAAAAAAAAAAAAAAAAAAAAAAAAAAGACAAGAGGAAAGACAAGAGGGTTACATGCACGATTGAGAGACTTGTTCTATTATCGTGGACATCCAATGCCCTCCCCCAAATTAAATGTACGGTCACTAAAGTTTCATTTAACTCCCCCTCTTTCTCTTTATCTGCCAGTTTGCCCATTTTGTCTTGCTCTCTCTCACACACGCACAAACACATATGCAGACACACACACAAAGAAGAATGACAATCTGCGAGGATATAGGTCTGGGTGACGTGGTAAGTCCTAATCGGTCAGTCAAATGCATTTTAGGCAGACTGTTGGGGTTCAACCTCCTGATGTGTCGGTGAAAGTACCCCAAAATAAAACGCACAGTTATTATAGTTACGTTTGGACTAACTTTCCATTTAGATATGGTGGTAATGATCGTGGGTTCTATTTCGTTTTATTCGGGATTGAGAACCATCATCATCATCATCTTTGACTTCTGTAGTAGAGCTCACTTTGAGAGTTGCAATTGTGATGATGTGGCCATTGCAGAGGTTCGTTGGCATTTACTGAGCGATGTCGATGATGTGCCATTATGGAGAACGAAGAGGAAGAGGACGACGACGAAGAAGAGGAATAGAACAAACAAAAGGAGGAAGTGGGGGAGACATGACACTTTGTGGTGCGAAAGGATAACGAGAAGTGTCGAGAGAAAGAGGTTAACGCTGCCAAATAATTGCAGCGAGGGTAGAGAGGGAGATTAGTTGTCCAGAACGGGCACAGGGAGGGGGGGGAACAGAGGGGGGGGGGGGAAGGCCTGAAGAGGAGAGGGAAGTGTAACTGGAGGAGGGAGTTGGAGTGAAGACCCTGCATAGAAGAGCAAATGACAATAGAGACAATTATGACAAACCTACTCCATCTTAAGCAGGTTATTCAGGCAGTGCCTCATAAATTGTTTAGTGAGGGTCGCAGTAGAAAACTTCTCGACGTTGACTTTGATAGTAAACTGATAACGAACATAATTCTAAGTTAAGTAAAGGAAAAACTATTAATTACTCCTTTCCAATTAAAGCTCAATCAGGCATCTTGTGTGTGTGTGTGTAAAACCGAAACTTTTGAAAAAAAGAGCGACTGATCCTTAGGTGGAAGCGGACCTAAAAAAGAAGTAACTTAAAGAAGGGGAGGCATTGTCGGGAGTACCATGAGCATGTTGTCAAAGGCGGAAGGTACCGACGGGTCCAGTCTCGCAATTTGAAAGAGGCAACTTTGACGATTTTTTGTGCTCATAGGAATTCACAAAAAAAAATAAAAATTTACGAATTCATATATTAGATCAATGCTCTTTCCATTAAAAATATCAGAAAAGTTTTAAAAAATCGTTAAGACTGTAAAATAATCACCGCGCCGATTTAATACATTTTCTATTTTTGCCACTCAGCCACGTGTGGGCCAACTTAAAAAAACTCAAACTTCAATGATTTTTCATGCTTACAAAAATCCATGAAAATTTATAAAAAGTGGAGTGCTCGCAAATTTTGTTGTGACATTTTAAGGAAAAATATTAAATAAATAAATAAAAATTTATTTCAACAATGAAATAGATCGCAGCCACAGACTCCCTCTCTCTCTCTTTCTTTTTTTGGTAGCCCCCCACCCCACCATCTCTCTCTCCCTCTCTCTCTCNCCCCCCCCCCCCTCTTTCTCTCTTGTGCGCGTGCTTAGTCCCATGACTTTGGCTACCTTATAGCACCAGTACATGGGCACCTGGGCCACAGGCCTGACACCTCAAATTCTGGAGGCGCGAAACGAAATTGCGACCACCGATCTAATTTATCAACGTCGGGCGCGACGTTTGACGTTTCGGCCTCGTTTTCTTGTGGTGACAAGTTTTGGATTGCAAGGCTGGGGCCGTGTACTGGTAGTTTAGGGCTGCGTTCCCCGCACCCACACCGTAGACAATTCGCAGCCCTAATGCTGCGGTATAGTGGGTTTCGGTGTCTGTGTCAAGGTGTCGCATTTTTATAGCGGGCGACCAAGACGCAAAGTAGGTTCTTAGGGGGAAAAAAAATTGGGGGAAGGTCCTTGGCAAAATTGCAGACTACCTACAACTACCTCTGGTAGAACCAAGACTTTTGGAAAAAGGAATAACCAGTCCTCGTGTGGAAGTGGACCCCCCAAAAAAGTGGGGGGCGTTGGATCAGTCCTCGAGTAGAAGTAGACTTCAAAAAGAAGTGAGGGCATGCAAACTGCAAAAGGGTCCTCATGCCCAAGTGTTGAGGTCTGTCTTCTCAAAACAGGGAGGTCAGGTACAACGAAACAAACGTTTTGAAAGTGACAACTTTGACGATTTTCTGTGCTCGTACGAACTCGCAGAAAAATATGAAATTTTGTGAATCCATAGATGAGGTCGTGTTCTTTCCATGAATAATATTAGAATATTTTCAAAAAATCATTTAGACTGCGAAATAATCGTCACGCCAATTCGGCACATTTTTTATTTTTGCCACTCAACCATGTGTGGGCCAACTAAAAAAATACTCCAAATTTAGTGAGTTTCAGCGCTCAGAAGAGTGCGTGAAAAACCTGAAAATTGGAGTACTCATAGATTTTGTTGTGATATTTCCAGGAAAAATGCTCAATAAATTAAAAAAAATAATGCCAATTGTGAAATAGATCGCGACCGCAATTTTACGCATATTTCAATTTTGCCACTCAGCCTCTCTCTTTCTCTGTCTGTGGTAGGCCCCCCCCCTCTCTCTCCCTCTATCTCTCTTTCTTTCTCTTTTTAATTCTATGTCTCTCTTTCTCTGGGCCTCGTTAGACCCTCCTTGGAAAATCCTCAGGAATTAGGATGAAGTCCTTGGAAAGTTTTTCGGTTTTCGGCGTCGTGGTTACATCGTGTCCCAATTCAATGGGTCCCAAGGAAAACCCTTGGAGGTCTCCAACATTCAATTTCATACGAATACACGCGGCCGCGGGGGTGGATGTCCGTCATCGTGCTGGGATGTTCGTGCGTCCTTGTGCGTGGTCCACTGGTAGCAGCGGGAAGGCCTACCGGGCTGAGGAAAAAAAAAGGGCGCCAACATCCCCGTTCCAATTTGAAATTTTGAACCCTCCGTTGTGACATATCAGTGCGTGAGGCGTCCTGACGGCTGGACTGGAGATTGGGGCGAAACGTCCGTGCGGAGGAGTGATGGCGGCCACGGCTTAAAAGGATTACATTGGAACGTCGGGCGACGTAGCGTGTATGTGTAACGGTTCTCTACTGCGACGTTGCGTTCGTGTTCCGCATGCTCTTCAGGCCGTCACAACTTAGCGCGAACGTAATGCTTTCGTGAAACATGGAGAGTGTGAGCGCGGTCCCCATCGATATGCAGAAGGTGCAGCGAGGGCACCGGCGGGCAAACGAGTGATGGGTGCTTGCACATTACAAGTCCTGACGATGGAACGAGAGCTTCCGAGTGGTGCGAAGACATTAACGACATCGGAGAGAAACACGGTGGTCGCAACAGTGTCAGTCGTCGCCATGCGTTATTGCATTGAGGGAACGGCAACTCGCCTGAGGATGAGATTGTTCGTTCGCAGGCAGAGATAGTTGATGGAACAGGTGATTGATGCACCTGGTTGTGTGTCATTATCGGAATCCATTGTGCAACTCTCTCTCTCTCTCTCTCTCTCTTTCTCTCTATTAGTCCCCCCCCCTTCCCCCTCTATCTCTCTTTCTTTCTCTCTCTCACTCTTTGTCTCTGTCTCACACTCATAATAATAAATGGAACAAAACTCTCTCTCTCTCTCTCTCTTTCTCTTGTGTGAGCTTTTAGTCTCATTGCTTTGGCTACCTCAGGGCTGCGTTCCCCTCGCCCACGCGGTAGAGAATAGGATTAGGGACTTAGAGATAAAACGCAACCCTGACGAGCTCCGAACAGTGGCAGGAGGACCAACGGGCCATCTGCGGAGGGTGACCCCGCGTTGGTTCCTGGGCAGGCTCGGACTCAAGGCCGTGGGATGTAGCATGCTTCAAGGCGCCCTTCTCGTAATAATCGGCGCGGTAGGTGGAGCCTCGAATTTCTTCGGGGACAATCAGCCGTACTACCGTTGAGTCATTGAGGGAACCTCCTCGAAGAGACCCCCCAGTGAGAGTACACGCCTGTGTGGCCGCGCATTGAATCGCATCCCGCCGATCACGTCGCACGGGTTCGGTTTCTTTCTCAGGCAAAGCTGACTGCGCACAGCGGACTCTTTTCGTACCATTGCCGAACCAGAGCCTTGGGCGGGAACCTCGCGGTAGTCTGCCCCCGCGCCGCGCCGAGCCGAGCCGAGCCAAGCCGAGCCGCAGCTTCGGAACTGGCCGGAGCTTGGGAACGGGGCCTCCAGAGAGTGGCGGTGGAGAAGGCGGGTACCATAGTTGCGCAGGGCGGAGCTGGCGCAGAGGTGGGCGTCCTAGATCGTGAGAGCGACACAGTTCGTGCATCGTTCCAGACGGAACAGGGCTTCGCTGTTCGTCTTCCCTTCGTCTTCCATATTCCGTCATCATCTTGTTCGTTACTTCAGACTGGAGTTAGTCCCCAACTCGTTCGCCATCGCTGTCGCTTCTGTGAGGGACTGTCTTCTTCGGCTCGTACTCCATCGCTTTCTGTTCTGCGAGGCGTGGTCTTCGGCTCAGTCTCCGTCGCATTCTGCTTTGTGCGCACGGCCGCCAGCGCCGTTGGCGTAGAGTAGCAGGGTCATTGGCGTGCGTGAAGACAAGGAAACGAAACACACCGGAAGAAGCACTAGCCGAATCGGCAGAAGCGGCAGTAAGAGAGAAACGGCAAGCGGCCGTAAGACAGAGAAAGTGGAGTGGAGTGGTCGTCAGAGACAGCAGGCGTGTGGTTGAAGAGGCGGATATTGGCGCAACCCGGTTTTTGTTTGTCAGTTAGTCAATCAATCAATCAATCAATCAATCATCATGCCACGGTGAGAATCCTCTGAAATAGAATAGGGACTCCTCGTTCTATGCACACTAGAAAATAATGGGGTGATTCTTGTGTGTCGAAGACGGGTTAATTATTATATTATGTATGCATGTATGTATGTATGAGTTTTCGGCGAGAATGTCAGTAATCGGTTATGGCGTAGGCCAGACTCACGCAAGTTCCTTAGCAGTATCTGACCGCGATTGCGAGAAGATGCGTTCAGAATAATACCCGTGCGGGTATGCTGTTATTGTTGCCCCTAAGCTGTATGTCGTGCACCCATTAAGTCAGGCTTCAATTACGTATCTTGCGGTTGCAATGAGGATCTCCGTCATCAGGAACCCCGTCCCGACATAGAGTGTCGGGATACTACCCCCCGGGGGGCGACGGTGTCCACTGGTTCTATGGATATATCGAATTCGTAGGGTTTCCTTAGTCTTTCGCCCCGTCCATCTCTTTTTTTTTTTTTTTTTTYTTTTTCCCGTTCATCTCTCATTAACGGTTTTGACTGAATTTAATATTCCAAGCTAATGACGGGCTCAATTACTGTTATCCGCTAAGCCCCTCCTCCCCAGTGCATCTCTTGGCAGTTTGCACGGGATATAACTGCAAAAGACCATGAGATATGGCGTCATTCCTCAGGGGGAGAGAATGGGTCGGGCAGCAGTTCTTAAGGGGTATATATACCCCTTAAAAACTGCTGACCGAGATAATCTTGGGTGGATTGACGGGCAGGGGGGAAGGATTACTCGGGCGGTCGGTTCCCTTTCGTCGGGCAGTCAGTTCTTTCAGTGTCCCTCAGTTTTGCAGATTCGTCGTATTGTTTACCCTTGTGGAACTCTGTTCGCCTTCCCTCGTCTCTCTCTCTCTCTCTGTGTCCTAAGTTGTATGTCTCCTTGTTCTTGCTTCGATTCCCTCCCTCCCTCTCTCCCTCTCTCCCTCTCTCCTTTCCTCCTTCCCTTCCTCCTTCCCTCCCTCCCTCCTTCCCTCTCTCTCTCTCTCTCTCTCTCTCTCTCTCTCTCTCTTAGACACTCCGTGTTTCAACGTATTGGTGCAGCATCTGAAGGTCCTATATCTGTGTCTTTGTGATATGGGCAAGGAAAGAGAGTCTTTCGCACTAAACCCAAAGCGCACTATCGCAGTTATTTCCTCCCTCCGACGTTAATCACCGGCTTTGATCCCCACTCCCTAGCCGGTATTCATATCATTCCCCTTCAAGAGTTGGCATTACCAAAGGCGAGTCCTGACTATAAACCCTCTCTCGCGTCCATGCCCCATGCCAGGCCCACCGAGCTCTCCACGGTAAGTTTCCTAACCGTTAGCCCAACTCCCAACCCTAAAAACTGCCGTTCCTCTTGCAAGTCTCTACTAAACCTACCCAAGATCCCAACGTATTCGCCGAATCTCCATCCATACCTCAAATTTATTGTCGACGGCGAGTAGATCCGACGACTGCAGAATCGCCGACGGCGAGTAGATCCGACGACTGCAGACCTTTCTTTCTTTATTTTCAAAGAAAAACGTCACCAACGGAACCCCTCTAATCAATCGTCCACGGCGAGTAGATCTGACTACTGCAGACTTTTTTTTTTTTTCCCCAAGAAAAACGTTACGAACGGCTGCAAATGGGTTGTCAGTCTCTCGCTTTGATCCAGTGAGAGTTGGAGCCATCCTCTCACTGGCCCCACGTTATTAAATTAATTACAGTAAAATAAAATAAAAATAAAATAAAAATAAAATAAAAATAAAATAAAAATAAAATAAAAATAAAATAAAATAAAATAAAAATAAAATAAAAATAAAATAAAAATAAAATTAATTATGCGCCTGTTTTTAATGTCATGTATAGTAAGGGGGGGAGGTAACCCCCTGCTTTGTTATTGCATCTGTCTGCAAGAGTTGAACTCTTGACCTGTTTGCGTAAGATAGTCAGGTGTGTATCGTCGCGTACATACACAGACAGGTTAACAAAACATGTATGAGTCTTCACTCTTCTCTTTATCCGATTTCAAGAGAGACCAGATGTCGAAAATGTGAATTTTGACATCGCTTACCGAAGTAGTCTTCCGTTAGTAAATCCCGTTTCAAAAAAAAAAGAAGGAAAAAAAAAAGAGTCTTCCGTTAGTAGGATTGAACTCTGGACCTCTGTTTGATCAATGGTTGGGTGTGCACCATATAGCCGCACGGAGGCAATTTTTTTGTTAAAATTGTCTTGTTTTTTTTTTTTGATCCGACGACGTCAACGGAATGGTGACGGAAATGAATTCGAAAATGTGAAAACGATTTTACTAAACTGAAGTAAGGCAACGGCGCTTTAATTCCCTGCGAAACTATGGCGTACAGCCAAAAAGACACTAAACGAAACAGATGTTTGTGTTTTTTTTTGTTAATTATATAGATTACATAGAAGATCTTTGTGTTTTTTTTGTTAATTATATAGATCATATAGAAGATGTTTGTGTTTTTTTTGTTAATTATATAGATGATATAGAAGATGTTTGTGTTTTTTGTTTGTGTTTTTTTTTGTTAAGTATATAGATTATATAGAAGATGTTTGTGTTTCAGAAGGGGAAGATCAGTTCTGTTACGTGGAGGGAGGGGAAAGCGGTCGTGGGCGAATGGAGGGAGCGGTTGTGTGAGGACGGAAAGGCGATTATTGTGTTGTGACGAGAGAATAAGTGTTGCAGCTGAATGAACGGAATTGACGTTCCATTTTGTTGGGGATTTCTGTCGCGATCGTGATGACTGCTACGAGATTATTGCAATGGGGAAGATAAGGATTGATATAACTGATTGTTTTTTTTCTGATAGTGGAAAGTCGATGATGGTGATAGAATGATGATGATGATGATGATGATGATGATGATAGTAATTGATGATAACAAATGATTTTACTAAACTGGGATGATGGTTGCTGGTAGGGGAAGGCCTCTGTATATGAAGGGGCGCCTACGACACTGTGTGTCGTCCCTAATCATGACGATAGTGTGTATGCGCACGGACCCTGCTCAGAGAATTGGCACCTCACGCTGGCACACGGCCGAGTGCGTCTGTTGTGTGTGTGTGTGTGTGTGTGTGTGTGTGAGAGAGAGAGAGAGAGAGAGAGAGGTGCCGTCCCTAATCATGACGATAGTGTATGCTCAGAGAATTGGGACCTCACGCTTGCACACGGCCGAGTGCGTCTGTTGTCTGTGTGTGTGTGTGTGTGTGAGAGAGAGAGAGAGAGAGAGAGAGAGAGAGAGAGAGAGAGAGAGAGAGAGAGAGAGAGAGAACGCGCGCACACACACGATGTCGTATCTTGCCAGAGCATGCGTGGTCTCTGCCATCCGCCGCAATGGCACTTGTTGCACTGAAGCTTCTATGTTTGGTGCACCTTTATGTGATCATTTGCATCATCCACGTCGTGCTTGCCCTGCTTTCCGACAAGGCTGCTCTGACCTCTGACCTCTGATCGCTTCTTTCCACATGCTGCCATGCCTCGTCCCCGCACCGCTTTCTGGTATCCTGCCTCCTCCGCAGCGGGGGTGGGCACGCGCACGCTTTTAGTGAGCAGAAAGGTGTGGGGGCAATTCTCACACAACCACACAAATCGGGGATATAACGCAAAACGAAAAAAAGAATATATGCCCTTCACTAAAACTGCAAGACTGTGAAAGAAGAATGCAGTAAAAGAAAGAAGTTTGTGTCATTATACTTCGTTCGTACCCTGCACCCTAACACCCTCAAAGGAAAATTCAGAAGGGTGAAAATGAGAATAAAAACTAAAAAGTGAAGGAGGAAGTTCAGGTGCGCTGAAAAACGAACGTGGTAGACCTCTCCCTTTACTTTTTATTTTTTGTATTCTTCACCAAAACTTCAAAGCTGTGAAAGAAAGAAGAATACAGTAAAATAAAAGAAAGAAGAAGTCGTGTCACCTTCCCTTCGCCTATCGGTTTTGCTTTTCTGCCCCTCTCTTCCTTGTTGTGTTTAACAAACACCTCCCCCTCCCTTCACTCTGCCTCTTTTCCTTTTCTTGTTTTGTCTTTTTCCGCCTTCGTGCTCCGAATATATATCGTCAAACAGAGCTGCCCGGTAAACCGTAGGCAGACAATATATAAAATATATTCCTTACCTCTTCCCCCTCCCCCTTTTTTCCTTTTCCTTTTTTCTTTTCCCTTTTTTGCGCTCTGATTCACAATGTGACAATATATACTGCTTTGATGGCATGGTCCGTGCTAGCCGTCCTGCTGAATGCTGTGCTGGCGCAGCTCTACTTGGGTATTCCTTGTGAACATCCACGCCACCCTCAGCATGCCTGTCCTATCTGCCGGGGTGGGGGGTCCTCTTGCTAACTACTGGTCTCAATAGAATCAAGCAGGTCGGGAGCAACACTGATGATAGGACATATAATGGTTTCGATACCTGGAAAAATGAAAAGAAAAAAAAGAGAAAAAGAAAAAAATTCAGGAAAAAGAAAAAAGAAAAAAGAAAATAAGGAAAAATATAAAATATGTTGAACTTTGTTGTGACAGTGGCAATTGGTTTATCTGAGGGATGTGTCAATTGCTTTGCTTGGCTAATATGCCTGCCTTCCTCTTCCCTTGTCCTTTCTTTCACTGGATCCCTTTCTCTTTTTCTAGCCTCTGTGAGGTTTGGTTTCCTCCTCCTTTTCTTTACCTCTCTTTTGCCTTTTGGCTGCTTGCAAGTGGGTCCTTGTGACACACGGGGATGGGGCAGCCAGCGCTCAACCTGTCATCCACGTGGCTGGCCTTGTACGTAAGAGGTGATGAACAGGTGGGGCTTTCCTTCCTTCCTTCTTTTCCTTTCCTTGTTTTGCTTTTTTCCGCCTTCGCGCTCTGATTTACAGTGTAACAATATATATTTGCCTTTTGGCTGTGTGCAAGTGGGTCGATATGACACACGGGGGTGGGGGCAGCCGCCGCTCAACCTACATCCACGTGGGCGGCCGTGTACGCAAGAGGTTTTGGACAGGGGGAGTCTTGTAAGGAAGAAGATAAAAAATGAATTTATTTCTTCTTTTTTTCGCATTTGCGCTCTGATAAATTTGTGACGAAATATCGGCTGAATGGGGTAGTGGGAGATATACTTGAAGCATTGGCTGTTGGTATTGATGAG